CATAACAAAATAGTGTCACTGATAAGTCACCACACCTGTCAACATAACGGTCAACATACTTGTCATTATATTTATATCATTTAATTATGTAAAGGAATACTTTGTTTCAGCTGACTTTAAATATAGATGTGCTATTGATTATTAAAGCATTCTGAAACACACATTACTACTGACCATTCCAGGTGAAGTGTAGAAACTTCTTGTCGGTAGAGGTCTGTACAGCAGACAGGTGGACTCTGTACTTTGTAACACCAGACTCAACACTTTTCTTGAAGCCACAAACTGTCTACAAAGTACCAGAAATAGGAGTGTCATTCAAACTTGCTATCAGCTCAGATAGTATAGATATTTTATTAAATAACAATTTCTTTTATTCCAGTCATGCATGATAAAATATTTCAGTATGAAATGTTTAATTAACTGTTCATGTGAACCTTTATTTATATTTAATAAGATAATGTCAATGCTTCAATACCACCAGTTTTTAAGGAAAAAACAGCTAATAGGGTATTTTCATCAGTTTTATATGCATAAACATTATAGTCTATTGTATTTTCCACAATCAAATACCACTGTTTTGTGACTTACCATTGGTATTTGTTCAGAATAGAATTTTGATGTTATTCAGTATGCCTGTTTCAACTAGAACTGTATTTGAAACTAACACCTCTGATTCTAAACAAGGAAAATGAAGACATTTTAGCACACTGACTCCTTTGGGCCCCACCCTATAGCCGTTGGAGGTAGGGCTGGCTCAAAATTTTCATAGTATCAAACTGTCAATTCAGGGTTATAATTCCAATCAAGTTATTAACATGTAATATTCAAAATATCATTTGCCATTATAAACCATAACAAAATTTTAGAAATTTCAGTCAATTCAACCCTTTTTGGCCCCACCCATCAGCCCGGGGGGTCAGTCAGGGCTGATATGTGCATACCATCAAACTGCTACCCAATACTGATAATGCTAACCTAAATTGAATTACTTCCAATGGAAATTAAACAAATGTTGGTCCAAAATGTGATTTCCCTATATAAACTATAGTAAAGTTTACCTCCTCCCCAGGAGGAAACGTGAGACCCCAGGGTCATGAAATTCACAAATTTGGTAAGACACCTTAAGACCCTTCCATCTATGAAGAGTATTTGATTCTACCATATCTGGGTCTTGAGAAGAAGATTTTTGAAATTTCAGTCAATTTGACCCCTTTGGGCCCCACCCATCAGCCCCGGGGGTCAGTCAGGGCTCATATGTGCATACCATCAAACTGCTACCCAATACTGTTTACCATGTCTCCATGAGGATGTGTGGAGTGAGAATAAGATAAAGTTAACAAGTCATCATAACTTAATGTTTCCCATGTCTCCATGAGGATGTGTGGAGTGAGAATAAGATGTAGTTCACAAGTCATCATAACTTACTGTTTCCCCATGTCTCCATGAGGATGTGTGGAGTGAGAATAAGATGAAGTTAACAAGTCATCATAACTTACTGTTTACCATGTCTCCATGAGGATGTGTGGAGTGAGAATAAGATGAAGTTAACAAGTCATCATAACTTACTGTTTACCATGTCTCCATGAGGATGTGTGGAGTGAGAATAAGATGAAGTTAACAAGTCATCATAACTTACTGTTTACCATGTCTCCATGAGGATGTGTGGAGTGAGAATAAGATGAAGTTAACAAGTCATCATAACTTACTGTTTACCATGTCTCCATGAGGATGTGTGGAGTGAGAATAAGATGAAGTTAACAAGTCATCATAACTTACTGTTTACCATGTCTCCATGAGGATGTGTGGAGTGAGAATAAGATGAAGTTAACAAGTCATCATAACTTACTGTTTACCATGTCTCCATGAGGATGTGTGGAGTGAGAATAAGATGAAGTTAACAAGTCATCATAACTTACTGTTTACCATGTCTCCATGAGGATGTGTGGAGTGAGAATAAGATGAAGTTAACAAGTCATCATAACTTACTGTTTACCATGTCTCCATGAGGATGTGTGGAGTGAGAATAAGATGAAGTTAACAAGTCATCATAACTTACTGTTTACCATGTCTCCATGAGGATGTGTGGAGTGAGAATAA